GGGGGCCCCCCCCCCCCCCCCACTCCCAGTGAAGGAACTAGATATAGTGATGATAATATTAGGAGTCTGGGAAAAAAAAGTTTACTCAGGGTCAGAATAGTCTATGAAGATGAGAAGTTTTCTAGCTGAGGAAAACATCTGAGAAGAATGCGATACTTAGGTATGTTGTTAATTTAAAAACTGAGGAATGAATGATGTGCTCTGAAGTCACAGTGTGGACACAGACACATAGACTGAGGAAGAGTCATGAGGATGGAGTGTAATCTGAAGAATGATTTTTCCTGGAGAGGGAAAGTGGAAGGAAGAGACATCCGTAATGAGATAAGTCTTTGCTGGACATAGTAGAAAGGAAAGGAGTTAGGCGAACAAGTTCTCCAAAGTTCTGTACCTGGGTAGAGTCACTTCTGTTAGTAGTAAAGAAAAGTTCAATACTAACTGCAAATTTAAGTTACCTTGTTATCAAGTTAACTTTTATAGGAAATAATCATACTGATATTGAAATAATTTGCAAAAAATAATGTATATGAGGTATACTACATTGTGCAGTTTGCCTGACTTGCCATATTTCTTTAATTGAAACATTTTCTTTCGAGCCTTCTCCAGAAGAGGTCAGCAGAATCCTAGTTACCAGTCAGTAGCTTGCTGTGCTTGGTTGACTTGTATTGTTTTAATATCTTATTTCATTTAGAGGTATTTTGTTTTAGCATCTCCAGATCTGTACTTGGGCTTTTTAGTTAATTTTGTTTCCAAGTCTAGAATTAGGGTATTTATTTAACTTTAGGTTTTATATAATGGAAATAGAAAGTGTTTTATTTTTGTTTAAAGCTCTGCTTTTATTCATTTCTAATATGTTTTCAGGATGACATAACATTTTGTTGGGTATTTGGAACTTAAATTTGGTAAAAACATATTGAGATTGTTATTATTATTCACTAAAGTGCTAATTTTGTTATGAAAATTGTAAGAGTCTTAAATATTATATTGATTTGTTTTTATTTTGTTTAAGCATTACCTTAATTTTCAGAATCTGGTAATGAATGACAGATATATTGTTTTCCTTATGATTTTTTAAGTCTTTTTATTCAGATGATTTCCACTGCTTAACTTAGGTAGATTCCTTAAGTTTGAACCTCACAAGTGAATGGCCTATTTTCAACTAACAACAATAACCCCAAGCAAACAACAAACAACCGTAGTCATAAATTAGAACGTTTTTCCTTCCCACCAGTATTTTTTCTTCAGATTTATTTGTTCTTTAAAAATCTTCCAACCAGTATGGGTGCTTGATTGGCAATCTAGCTAAGCTAGAGACTTAGTAAAACAAATAGCATTTTCAGTCCCTTAATTAAATTTTTTTTTTTTACTTTTTTGAGGTTTGATTTACACAGAGTAGTGCAAATTTTAATTGTTCAAGTTGATGAACTTTTTATATAAGTATACACCCAATTGCACATAAATTTTTGTTTTGTTTTTAAGAGTCACAATCATATTGTATAACTGCTCTTTTAATTTGATATTAGTAGCATTTTTTACTTGTTTTTTAGCATTTTTAAACCTAATTTTAAATTACTGTATAATATTCCATTGTAATTACTTATTTGTATTCTTTATTTATTACAAACATATTGGGTCAATACATGTGGTAGATGCTGGATTTACAATATTCCACATTCTGTGAGAGAAGAGAGGCATATAAAGGAATGACAATATAGTGTAGTACATGCTAATGTAGACTCAGCACTCAGCATTTTGGAGATACATACTAGGGGCCCTTAATCCATTTTTGGAGTTGGGGATGCAAGGAAGAGGAGGTGATAATGCATGTGTCCTAAAAAGTGTATACATGATTGTGAAAGAGCGTGGGTAGACACTACACATTCCAGGCAGGGAAAATGGGAATAATAATTTGGTGTAAATTTTATTTGACTTAACTGAAACCTATAGTTGTGTTAATTGCCAAGTTAAAGTGAGTAATCAAAAAATGAAGCATACATACCTTAAACATTTTAGCTGAATATGTAAATGAATATTTAGTAATTTCTTTTATATAGGGCCAAAGTCATACTTCGGAATATAGATGAGTTAATTGGAGTTCCCAGTCACATTTCTGTAATAAGCCATACTTATATATATAATGCAGTGATTTGCAGTTTTTATTTATTTAAAGCAGAGCCAGAACTTGTAGACAATTGAAAAGACATTCGGGATATCCAAATGTGTAGATCTTAGAGATATTTCATGGTTTTTATTCTCAGTCTTTTACTGTAATTCTCTGGCACCCCCTGCCCACCCCCCCTTTTTTAGGGACTCACGTCTTCCAAAAGTCATCAACTCAGTTTTAGAAATTGAATTGATGGAATTATAGAAACAAGTCTTTAATTTTACTAGGCAGGGATTTGATTTGCTTTTACTGCTGTGTGTCCAGCAGCTAGAGCACTGTCTGATCTATGGTAGCTGTTTCTTCTGTAAAACATTAATACCACTGGTGCACAGAAATCCTGGAGAGCTGATTGTTCTGGTAAGTTAGAGGTCAGATGAGAAATTTTCTTTTATATGTCTCATAGTTTGGAAAACCATCCTCAATATGAGTTCAAGGCAGAAAAACGAAAAAAATGAGACTAGAGAGGCCAGATCCTGAAGAGTTTTGTGCGCTGTGCTAACAATGACCTTTTTCTTAAGTGCTCAGGGGAACCGTTGAAGAGTTTTAGTTAAGGAAATGATATTGCTGAATTTGTGCTTTGGAACAAGCACTGTGGGTACTGAGTGGAGAATTGCTTTGGTGGCTTGAGGAGGTCCAGAATTTTGGAGACCTGAACTTGGGTTATGGCAGCTTGGGTGGAGATAATAGGTATTAAAGGGTACAATCACTAGGTCTTAGTGTTTGGATATTTACTTTTCCCTTTTTGGGCCAGAAGTGCTCAAAAGTGTTCTTATAACATGAGCATCTTTGAGCATAGAGCTAGCTTTTCCTAATTCAGGTTTGTATCTTTAGGATAGATTTCTAAAAAGTTCAGTTAATCTATTTTATATGAAACACTGCTGTAGATGGTATGATGAAGTCTGTAGGGTAAGATTCTTGTGTCATAGATCTTTCAGTCTTAAGGGAAGAACGGAGGTTTGAGTGCTACAAAGCAGGGAAGAACAGTATGTTGTGGTGCTGATATCTCTTCCAGGGCATTAACACTGAAAGTTCTTGATTAGGGGCAAAAGTGCTTTTTAATAGTGCATGAAAATGATGTTTTACAGATCATTTTTATAATTTTTTTTTTCATGTCATTACTAGGTAATAGCTAAGAGAAAAGAGGATTCTGGAAAGATAAAACTTTTGCTTCATTGGATGCCTGAAGACATGTATGTATTTGAAGTACTGTGTGTAACTAATAGACTTACGTTTTATTTTGATTAAAATCTTACACACAAAAATTGTTATTAAATTCAAATGAAAAGACTTAGAAAAATTAAACCATGTAACATTTTGATGTTCTCAGGATTAAAGAGATAAAAATCTTTAGTTTTTTAATTGTTTTTAATAAAAGTAGTTGCAGCAGTTTTTAATCATTTTTAGGATTTTTAATGACCTCCAAGTAGTATGCAAGCAGCCTTAGTTGTGCCTTTGTTTGAATCATTTATCTAAAAAATTTCTCCATACCAGCCAGCTGCCAAAAAAAAAACAACAACTTTGTAAAAGATTTCCAGCATGCAGTGAATGATGTTTTATAGAAAAAGCAATTGACCAGTATTCCAGCAGTGATTACATTTTTATTTGAGTTTTAGTAGCTTTTTGAGCTCTTCTGACCTAGATGTTCCTCAATTCAGATATTTCATCTTTAATTTTCCTTTTATCTTTTAAATTAAAATGTACTTGTTACAGAAGGTAATGAAGGTGTATCGTAGAAATTTTGGACAGAGTTGATAAAAACTAAGAATAGAAAAGTTTAAATGAAGGGGATTTCATTGTGTATGCTTACTTAAAATATGTGGCCAACATTTGTCCTTGTTATTAATTTTTCTATGATACTGTTTTCCCTACTCTGTTCTGAGGAGATGTTAATCAATGGTAGTGTTAAAGGTCTTAAAAATAGATTTGGGATTTACAGTATGCATTAGCATGTTAAATCTGTTTAACATTTTTTAATCCTATGATTATCAAACTTGCATTAGTATAGAACTTATCTTCCACAGCTCTCCCCTTGCTCTACCCTCTCCCCCCAATACCAACCTAGACTGGGTTTATGGAAATGTTACCCTTTATTTAACTAACTCCTTTTTACTAAACATTGAAGTTAACTATTTTTCATTATAAAGTGATATGAAAATCTCTATTAATATACACACTATGCAAAATGTTAAGATTTTTGGTAGTAATTGCCTCCCTGAAAGTTTGTGTCAACTTATAGTCCAATCTGCTACATTAGAGAATTTAATTCTCTGGCTTATTGTTAACACTGGCTCTTATCATTTCCTTTTACATTTTGCATTTCTTTGATTACAAGTGAGATAATTTTTAAACTGTTTCTGTCTTCAGTGAATTAATGGTTTGTGTCCTTTTCCTCCCCCATCTCCTCTTTTCCTAATAAGTTTTCATCTGTTTCATACTGGTTTTTAAGAGATATTTTTATATTAAGGTTATAAACATAGTTCTTTTAAAAATATGTATCAAATTCAAATGTCTGTGTATTCCAAGTGTTTTAGAAAAGGATTAGTCCAAATATCAAAATACTCTTATTTGAAATTTTTTGTAGTAATAAATTTCTTTGAATTCAGAATTTTGGTCACATGCATTTTTTAATCTTATGGGGTTTTTACTTCTTTCTTAATAAAGAGACTTGATGTCAGATTTTTATCAAGTCAAGCTCAATTATGAATTTCACTCAGTGAGTTAAGAGCCAGACTGTGTGTTCTGATAAGTTTAAGGCTTTGCCACCCAAAATTCCTAATTTATCCCTAAATCCCTGTCAAAAATTTAACGCTGCCATTTCTTATCTGGGACTGTATGTCCTGCTACTAATGCTGAAGTTTGTGGCTGAGCTTCCATGGCTTCTGAGAAACTTGTTAACCTAGGTGGCCCCATCAAACTAGCAGATAAGGTTGGGAAATGTGAAGGCATATATGAAGGGTAAATCTAAAATTAATGTTATCTTACTGTTGCCTTGTTTTTTAACTCATAGTCTGCCTGATGTGTGGGTGAATGAAAGTGAAAGACATCAGTTAAAAACTAAAGTAGTTCATTTATCAAAGCTACCCAAAGATACTGCCTTGCTTTTGGACCCAAACATATACAGGTAATCTAGTTCTTGACTCTGTTTTACTTTCTGAATTGTAATCTTAAGTCTCTCTAAATTTTGGATAAGTTAGGACTATTCTTAAGTACTGAATTTCAATTCCAAGCCTATCTTACTTTCTGCCTTTTTTTTCTTTTTGGGTATGTGGAGATTACACAGAAAATCCAGAAAGACCAATCCAATATTTTGCTAAAGTTTATATGCTTGTTTAATTCTAGATTTATCTTAATTAAGCTTTGATTTTAATATTCATAGTATTTTGAAAATAAATGCCTTTTGCTTAAATATGTAACTCTTTTTATAATGTCAGACTTTTGTGGGCCTGGGAATATATCATGTGTGTCCTAAATACCATTACTGTTTGAAATTAAAAATTTTTTTAAATTTATATTCTCCCCACACTTTTCCTTTGTTTGTTCATTTTGTTTTTTTGGTGGCTGGCCGGTACGGGGAACCGCACCCTTGACGTTGGTGTTACAAGGCTGTGCTCTAACCAACTGAGCTAACCGGCCTCCCCAGACTTCTCAAAAGAGCAATTTAAATATTATTGTGTTTTGTTTTTAAGAGGTAACTCAGAGTGTTCATTATCTCTAATGATTTTCTGATCTGACCTTTGTTTTAGTGTGCTGTGCTTATGAAGGTGTGGTGGGGGGGAGGAGAAGAGACCAACATTTCTGACTATGTGCTGAGTCACTTTGCTAGGTGCTTTACATTTACTTCATCCTCACAGCAGCTCTGTGAAGTAGGTGTTACTATCTCTGTTTTACAGCTTGGGAAACTGAGGCAAGAAGTTAAATAGTTTAATCTGCCCAAGGTTACACAGATAGTAAGTGGCCAAACTCCATACTACCTCTAATCTAAGTGACATATACTAGGGTGATTTTTAAAAAGTGATGAAAATGCTTAAAACCAGTTTTTAAAAGGCAGTATTAATGAAAGAATTTAATATTTTTTAAGTGAAATTTTAATATGTATTTTGTATAGAGATAGTTTGGACAGAAATAGGATGGCATATAATAATTGATTAATTCCCAAATGTAAATTTTAGCTATCATAAAGAAAGCTAATTTTATAGTTATTAAAAACCTTAAAGGCTGTGTTCATTCCATGACTGAACTTTTTGGAATATTCTTCAATATAACAGGATTTCTATAATTTGAGACATTCTTGGCTGAGAATGAAATTCTAACATATAATGGGTCTTGCCATGAAGAAATATTGAGACTCTTGAATTTTCTCTATTTCCCAAAACATTTCTTAAAACATCCTTTGATGAAGCTGCTAAAGTACAATAAAACTTGTTCTTTGTGGGATGAGAGACTATCAAGGAGAGGATTGAGTGAAATTCACTACCAAAAATATGAAAAAGGTACAACTACTCTCTTTTCAAAGGAAAATAATTGAGTATTCTTTATTTACTGGTACCTAATTTAAGGATTATTTCTGTTTACTCTTTGGAAGGAGGTAACTACAGTTAGCATTCTAAAAGAGTGATATTTTGGGAGAGCCACTCTGCTTTTAGAACTGGTTGTAAACATCTCTTGAAGAGTTGACAAAGGAGCATGAATCTTAAATTAAGATTAATCTGTGTTTCTGCCCTGTATTCTACTTTTCTCTTTCAAAGAGTCTTTCTTTCTCACCAAACCAGCTCATTTTTGCTGCTGTTGTGCTATGTAGAAATCAATTTAGATATTTTAGTGAAAGTGACTTAAGAATAACATTCAAATTTAGAACTGATTTCCAAAAGTGCATAGGAATAGTGATGCATATTCTCGAAGTATGTGATTCTATAGTTCTTATTTATTTCATTCTTTGGAAATGAGGATGTTCTGAAGGCATATTAGGTGCTTCTTTAGATTTAATTTTCCTTAATGATACCAAAAGAAAAATCTTAAAATTTAATTTTGACTCTATATTTTTGCGCTGCTTCTTTTCTGAAATCAAAACTGAGTCTTCTCTAAAATGGTATAGAGTCATAGAAGCCCCTTCATTTGCTCTGGTGTAGTATCTTTAGTAAATTTCTGTGTTTGAATGGGAAAACTTGTGAAATTAAGTAAAGAGAAAAAAATTATTCTTGTTCTTAGAAGAAATAATTTCTTCCTCATACACATATCAAAATGAAAACATGGCTAACTTTCCAAAAATTAACTTCAGAATGAGACTAAAAAGAACATATTTATTTTGAAGTACTAATTGGTTAAAATGCATGTGTTAGACATGGAATTCTTTCTAAGAAACACATTAACAGTCTGCATAAAAAAGATTTATTAAACAGCTATATTATGTCACTAAATTTGTATCCATTATGTGTATAAATGTTTTGGAAATAAATGTTAATGATCATCTGTGATCACATTGCCTATATCTTATAAATTTTTAAAATTTCTGTCTTCAAGTGCTCAATGTGTTTGATTCAGTTGAATAAAAGAAAATTCCTTTTTCTCTTTTTCTAGAACAATGCCGCAGAAGAGGTTGAAGAGGTAAAAAATAAATAAATACATAAAAAGCAAACAAGCGGGGACACCTGCAGTCTTAGTCACTGACAATGGGTTTAGGAAAAGTTGCACATTAGAGTCAACCCCTTTCCTTTTTTTTTTTTTTTTTAATCCAGTATTTAGAATAATATTTATGCTTAGTGTAAACATTCTGTGAATGAAGTAGCCTCTTTCTGTGGAATATATTAATATATTACTGTATATCCACATTTTCATGGAATGGTACTGTGGGAGACTGAGCAAACACTCTTCTGGCAACTTAGTGGAACAGCTTTTAAAGGCTTTGCATGCTTGCTGCTTTAAGCTGCTTTTTTTTTCTTCCCTTTAGTGATTACAGTAGTTTATATTGGAAAGAAAAACAATCACAACATGTGCCGTTACAGATACCAAAAGCACTGTAAGGATATTTGTCTTGACAGTGTCTATTGATTTGAAGTCATATTAGGAAATAATTTAGACATTGAAAATTATCAAAAGATAATTTACCTTTCAATTATGATAAATAGATGTGATTGGTTGCCATTTGTGTTCTTTTGCAGAACTCTGATAAGAAAAGTGTTCAATTTGTATTTAAGCAAACAGTGAACGACATTTGCAATCAACTAAAAATTCGTCTATCAAATTAGGTCTGAAAATTACTGTTAAAGAGTGTTGCAGTATGTCTGGTGGCTCCCTTTTCAGGACTAGGGCTTTCTCATGGAGTACAGTATGTTAATATTTACCTATATAACTAATCTGTTAACGGTTTTTGAAAAACCTCTCTTTCAAATTATTTGAATAATCCTCATATTTTCATTTAACCTATATGACTCTAATTTTTTTCTGAGGAAAGCATTTGGTTTTTGAGTTGTTTTTTCTTAATGTAAGAAAAACTGTATTTTTTTTAAAAGTTATCTTCAAACTAAATCCTTTATGCACCAAAGTTGGTTTTGAAAAGGAAAATAAAATCACTTTCTTGCTCGGTAAGCAAGAAGCCATATGGATTTTTTTTTTAACTTACAGAAATGGAAATATGTGTAACTTGTTAGTATTGTATTAAACAAATGTTGCATAGAGATAATAGAACATTGCTTGTATATAATTCAGCAGATTTGTAATATATTTTTATATTTTCAAATGTACTGTAGATGTTTTTCTAGAGGCATGAAAGTTAAATGTATATATTATGGTAGAAATAATATTGAAGGATATTGTAATTCACTAGTGCTGCCAGAGGAATTGTTAATAAAGCACCTTCTTTAACAATAAATGTCTTTTGCAGACTTAAGGGACTATGTACTACTGTTATTATCTATAAGAACAAAAAACATTGAACATCCTTCCAGAAAGTCTTTGAGGGAGGACCCATACCCATAATAGAATTATGGCACTCATTTCTGACAGTGACCGTGAAATCAATTATTTCCTTACTGTTGGAAGGACATATTGTAAAGTATGTGGTTATATGCAGTCAAACTGCAGAAAATGCTCCTGATTGAGGAGTTTTCACTTCACTACAGTGATATAAAAACCAGCAGTTTTTACACTAAATTTTTTAAAGAAAGAATAGACAAAAATATAGAATTAAATAAGCCTTTGGTTCCAAAATGAGAAAGATTCCATGGTACATAAATCATTTCTCATTTGCTTTAAAAAATTAAAAAATAATAAAAACTATGGGAGTCTTTATTCGTTAACAGTGGGGGTAAAGAGCTATATACATGAAATGAGTCATATAAAACTAAATGAAGTGCAAATAAAAGCACTGCTACTATAAGACATTCTGGAATGGTTGTTTAATAAGGGTATTATCCATACGATCTGTAGCAAATGTGATTTTATTTTTAAAAAGAAAAGAAAAGCAGTGTGTTTTCTTACATTTTTTGTTTTCTTTTGCTTAAGCACTTCATCAATTGCTTTATTCTGTATCTTGCGAAGTAATCTGCAATCTCCTTTGTTCTTTTCAAATTTTGATTTGTTATAAAATTGCCAAATAGAAGTGTTTCAGATATATNTTTTTTGTTTTCTTTTGCTTAAGCACTTCATCAATTGCTTTATTCTGTATCTTGCGAAGTAATCTGCAATCTCCTTTGTTCTTTTCAAATTTTGATTTGTTATAAAATTGCCAAATAGAAGTGTTTCAGATATATAGTTTGTACTTGTATTTTTATTTTATTGCATCATGTTCTTGTAAGTCATTCTTAATTGACCAATGATTGTAGACCTTGCTTGAGTATTTTTTCTAATAAAACAAAGCAAATTACATTTAGCTTCAAATTGTAACAATTCAATTAAATTTTAAAATGACATCTGAAAAAATACATCTAATATTTTCTTTAGAAAACAGCTTTTTCATTGTGTAGAAATTCTTAGATGTCAGAACCAGATTTCTTGCTTATTGATTAGCCTCAGAGTAACTCAGTCACTCATCTTTTTGCTGCTTATCTGACTTTGGTTTGGTACTACTAATTAACATACCATAAAGAATATGGAATTAAAATGAGCTAGTTTTATAACTTGTTGTATGTGTACATATCCACACATTCATTATGATTGGGAAATAACTATGAAAGTTAATTTGTAATGTTCATTTATTAATGTCTGCCCATCTATATTCTTCCTCCTGCCCCCACATATGATCAGTCTCTTACTTAAAATCTGGTCCTTTTAGAAAAAGTTTGCCAATCCTTTGTCTAGTTGATAACATTTTTGGAAAAATAAACATAGGCCGCTCAGCTTCCATTTTAATATGATAGTGTTGATCTTGGTAATAAGCTGATTGATATGTTAAATTTCAGTGAAAGCTGTTTAATATACTTTACAATAAATATTGTTATATTAGTTATCTGTATCAAATGGTGTTTTGGGGACACTTTTTTTTTTTGGGGGG